CCATCTCTCTCAGATATCCTTATCTCTTGACCATGGTCCAAAATTATGAAGACCTTTATATACTAATAGCAATCGTGTTACTTCTCAGTATGACGTAAATAAACAATTGTAAAATCAAAAAATGAATGAGATAGATAACTAATTTATACTCTGCTGTGTTATTTAAAAATTGACATTTCTTATTTTCAAAACTCTGATTTAAATCACTTTAATTTTATTACTAATTGTATTCAAAATCCAATATAAACAATTAATCGTTTATTTTATGTATTATTATCACCTCCTTCCTTCCTTCCCAGGCTGTGTTAACTACCTCGGAGCAAAGAAGACAAAGAGCTTTCTTTATTTTCTTAACTTCTACAATAGCCTTAGTAGTAGTTGAGCAGTCTTATTTGTGGCTGGCGTTTTATCTCTCTGCCGAGTCCTCGTAATACAAAAGACTCATAGTTCAAAGCGGCTATATAATGTACGTTAAATCTGACTTCGCTCAAAGTTCTCAGATTGGCGTAGTGTGGAAGTTTTGAGTGTAGGATGCCGGTTTGAATGTCGTTCATATCATTTGACCATGGTTCAAAATTACGAGATCCGTCGCCAGTAGCTTTCGAGTTGTTTTGAAGTGTGACACCCAAAAAAAATCAATCCGCAGATTTGCCAAAGTGATTATGTGTTTCGGTCGAATAACGATCTTCAATTCTGGTTTCACAAAAAACTGGTTTCTAAAATAATGTTGGTTGATATGTACTTACTGGTACTAAAGTCTCGCGTGGCGGGGAGTGTTGAAGTTAGGGAGTAACATTTCACAAGTCGCTGATGTGTTATCACTTGCTCGTGATTCGAATTTACAAGGTCTCTCACTTAGATCCCGTGAGGCGTTTATTTAACCATATCCACGAATTAAAACTAAATTATATAAATTGAGAAAATGTTACTTATCTTTAACTATTTTTAATGTGAAATTTAAATACAAAGATTTATTACAGATTATTAAAGATTAGATACAAAGATGAAACTAATGTACAAAGATTTTTACTAATTGTGTGTTTGCAGTAATATTAATCTTTTTAGATAAAGTTTTTAAAAGAAAATTTCGGTTTAGAACCGGGGTATTCAACCTTTTTTTCCCGCCGGGCCACATATATATCATAGATATTTCACCTGGGCTGCAGCATGAAAATAAGGGGGGGGGGCACTAAAACCAAAGCAACATTGGACAAAACAAAACTGATCAAAATATTAAAACTCGTTTTTGGATTTTATTTCAATACTATTTAACCTATCTATCAAACGCACAAAAAAGAAATGTTTATGGATTTTTTGCTGAATTATGGGCAGTTTCGATGTTTTTTCATCCATGACCAACCCTGTCTCTTGTTTGCATTCTACTATCAAAAAAATTTAACTTGTAGCAGATTTGATAGAACTTTCCGCTAACATTTTAGTACGCTGTTCTTAAAATTTAATTTCTCAGAGCAATGCGCCACTCAGAAAAGGTTTAAGGGCCACTTGCGGCCCGCGGGCTACAGGTTCTTGCTTTAGACGATGGATTAAAATTAAATTCGTGTAAAAAATACAGATTTTTATCTTATCGATTGATGTGTTGTTTTAATATTTATACACAAAACAAAATTTATAGGAAAATGTGGACAATTTTTTGTAATGATTTCGAAAACGAATGAACCTCCTACTTTTTCTTGTAGGTCAAATAGCCATTTCTTTTATTTGATTGCTTTCTCGGCCTGATTTTTTTTCATTGATTAAGACGAAATATCGGTTAACACGAAGTAATACAACGGTCCCGAAAAACTACTAAGTATTTTCATGTGTTTTTCCCTCTGAACACCAAACGAAAATCATTTAACTCTAAAAGATTTCCTTTGTAGGAATAAACAAAATACTGAAAACTCCAGCCGGATTTGACTGTCCTATTGTATTATCGGAAGAATCCATTGCAATAGATGATGATAGTGTGTGTACACCTCCAATTATGGCAGATAAAGACATTTTGGAGTTTGCTCAAAACTCAAAAAATATTGTGCAGATTCCGACGATGGAAATGAAATGAAATGAATAATTTTGCTCCTTTCTCGCACCATCCGAAATTAGGGATATCATGAAAACTAAGCGCAATTATTTAGGCGCACATTCCAATGGTGAAATAAATAAGAAAATAGACTATTTCGAACAATTTGATGCTAAAAAAATGCAAAGAAAAATATCAGATTATTTTCTAAAAACTTAATAAGTGTTTTGTTTTTCAAAGAATTTGAAAAAATTTTGTATTACATTTCCTAAAATTCTTGCAAATGTTTCTGTTTCATTGATTCTTATTAAATATATACATATACACAGTGCGTCAAATAAGTTTTAAGACTCGTCCCAGACCGAAGGTTCTAATGGCATCATGAGTGTAAATGCGCATGTGCCATAACATCCATGGTCTGCTGACACGCTACCAATAAGTTGAGCTCGTTTAGTTAAGTTGCTGCGAGAAAACAAACTTTTATTGCAGAAGTGAATTCTTTTCATGTTGATCTTAGATGATGAGATGATATGATGGAGAATAGAGCTGTGATTAAATTTAACGGATTTAAAGCAGTTGGTGTTTGTTGCACCCAGTCAGTCACATCTCCCTTACTGTTCGTCGATTTTTGGCAAAAACTAATGTCTGTATGTTGAACCATCCACTGTATTCACCTGATTTAGTACCCCGTGACTACTCCCTTTTTACAAAACTAAAAATAAAGTTAAAAGGGAGTTATTTTGAGGATATTTTGACCATACAAGTAGCTTTGACGCATGCTTTTCAGTTCCACAAAGTGATTTACAACAGACGTTCGATTCAATAATAAATCCCTGTAAGAAGTGCATTGAAACCTGAGAGTCCTATTTTGAATAAAAAAGCAAAACTGGAATTTCTTTTTACAGGCCCAGTCTTAAAACTTATTTGACGCACTGTGTTTATATATATATCTATGTAAATAAAACAAGTTCTAATAAACTTAATTTTGTTGATAATATGAGGGTTTTATTTTTGTGATGTACTTTAGCACGAAAAAATATTTCAGTCCCTTCAATTTCGTGTTAAACGATTCTCACAGTACTTCCACACTACGCCAACATGAGAACTTAATTTGTCGACAGATCTTAACGTGCATCAGCTCTTCTGACTAATGGGTCTTCAGTTGATAATTCGAATCTTGAATAAACGTCCATAACTACTCAGTGGCTACAGTCACCTGCTTTTTTTCGATGTTTAACCAGGTGCATTGATTTTTTTTTTATATTTTGTAATATTTACATCAATTTTCATTCGACATATTTTAAATTATTCCTTCCATCTCATGATTAAGGTATCAGACTACTTGCGACAACACTTTTTTTTTTAAAAAAAAATGGAGATATGAGGATTTTTTGTTGTTTTTAAATTTTTTTAGTACATTTTAAGAAAAATATGTTAAAAAATTAAGAAGAGAAAGTAATTATTAATAAAACAGGAAAACATTTGTAAAAATTTACAAAGAATAACATAAACTCGACCCATTCTGAATCAAAAGTTTATAAACAATTTTTCAATTCTGATGTGCTGGTAAGTTATTCATTTTTGAAATGACTTTCCAGATAAGAGATATTTTAATTTTTGCAAAAATTAGAGCGCTTTATCTTAGTTATAAGAAATTGCTTAAAAACAGTGATTATATAAACATAAGGGAATGTAAATTTTGTAATAAAACAGTAATTGATAAATCTGAAGGTTAAAACACTTCTATTATACAGGACATAAACAAAAAAAATTTCAGTTAATTGTTTTCAAAACTTTTTGAGCAATTGCTGTCCCCACACATTTGAGCATTTTCAAATAAAACACGTTTTAATGTGTGACATCTTGCTTAAAGTAATGGCATTTGCTTTTACTAAAACACTTATAGTTTTTGTTCTAGTGAACGGAAAATAATGAACTTGGTATTTTTATAAAGCTAATAAGATTATCTATAAAATAAAATCACGAAATAATTTGTCAATTTTTGGCAAAATTCACAATTTTATAGCAGTCGGATACCTTAAATCTTATGATTGCATTAAATTTAAGTAAAGACTGAATGTTTCAGTTTGTTTTTCTATCAAAGTTCTGAATTTTTTTCAGTTGATGTTGAACACTAATCATACGTTAATATTTTGATATTCACATCACTCTGTTGATTAAATGTCAAATATATATTGTCATTTTCATGATGAACTTAACAAACTCCAAGCAAACTTTCGTGTTAAATTTTAGCAATATATCTGTTGAGTCTCAATAAAAGTAAGGCAATGAAGATTCTTAATGTATCTCTTTTTTTAGTTGACCGATTTTTAGCGTCTGTTTTATGTGTCCTTTTATATGCCTTCTTCCTACAGCTTTTACTGAGTACATGAGGGAACTAGAGTATGATTTAGTTCGGGCGTTAATGTCAACCGTGGAGTTCTGGCTTGAACTCATTTTGGTTAGTGTGTTATAGTCGTTTCATGAAAGCAGAACTACCTCTTCCAAGTTATTTATGGTATTCTATGTTTTCTTTGCTCTGCCCTTTTGCCATTTAAGTCTAAAGCAATTCAAAAAGTTGATCGAACCAGAATCGGTCCTATATTTTTTTAGTACTTATATTTATTTACGGGTTAACTAAAAGAAAGAAGTTATACAGAGAGAGAAATATCATGAATGAAATATTTGACATGATTTATAATCATAATTCAAAGCTTTTTATTTAGTTTTAGTTTTTGAAAAATGTTTGCAAGACATATTTGTGTAGAAACTATTTGTTTTTCAATTCCTATTATTAGTTCTCTGTCCCTCGCTATATATTCATCCATTCAAGTTCAAATACATTTTTAGATGACACTTGTTGTTAATACAGTTTTTTCAAATATTAATTTATTAATTAAATTAAAAATTGAATAAATAGTAACAAACACACAAAAATAATAGTCCAACAGCATATATAGAAAGGAAAATCGTTTGTTGTGTCCCTGTAGCACAAGGAATAACGCGTTGAAACTTCTGATCCAAAGGTCGTGGGTTTGAATCCCACCTGAGATGTCTTAAATTATGTATATATATTCTGAAAATTTAAAAAAAAATGCTAGGAAAATCGCTTTCTGTTTTGTCACTTAACATTGTGATTCTGTCATATATGTTTACATATTCTTATGAATTGTAAAAATTTTTTATAAAAAGTAACTAAAATAAAAATTTTCTCTTTGTTGACCTAAGTAGTAATTGACTTAAAAAAAAAATTTTATTACTTTTTATTTAGGTAACAGAAGTTGCTTATTCCTCAAAAACTAGTATCAAGTTCGCTGAATTTTTTTCAATACTTTTACTAAGTTCAAAAGAATATAAATCCTTTTTGGATGCCAATTTCGTAATTAAAAAGGCTGTATATTCATATCTTATTAAGCCTGTTGGACTGTTTCTTGATAAAATAACTTCGAGTGAAGAATTCATTTTGTGTAAAGTACAATGCACTACTGCTAATTATCTTAATTACGTGTGTACATGGGGCGCTGTAGCCTAGTGATCATGATCACAAACGCATGGTTCTGCACTGTCAAATCTCGGGTTCGAGTCCTGATGCCACTGAAGACACCGTATAGGGGGACTGATACGCGTTAAATCTGTCGTGGCTCACATACTTCATGTTGACGTATTTTAGAAGTTAGGAGGGTGAGAGGTGCCATCTCAGGTGTTGTCCTCATCCCTTGACCACGATTTTAAATTACGAGGTCCGTTGCCAATAGCTCTAGCGTTGTTTTAGAGTATCATGTTAAAAAAACTCACTCACTCACTAATAATAATCTCCTTAATGTTTCTAAGATTTTTTTGAAGATTATCGAAATTATTTTCAGAAAGTTTTTGCGTATTAAAATGGCAAATCTTAGTTGTATTTTATGAATTGATTAACGTAACAAAGTTTGCTTCATTCAGTGAATTTTCACTCTATATGAAGTGTATTAATATTTTAATCTAATTATAGAAACATTTTAAGAAAAAGATGTAAAACTAACTTCACTCGCAACTAAATATGCTTAATTAATTGGAATTCACCGCTATGCACTAAAAAAGACTTGCCTTAAATCTAAGTAATAAATACCAAGTTTTATATCTTACTGATCTTAATGAACAAGTTGAGGTAACTATCAAATAGGATATTTGAAATTTTCTGATCAATTTCATGAAAAGCAAAAAAAAGTACCGTAAAATCTGGCGTATGCGCTTTTTAACACAAAAAATTAGATCGAAACCTGAAGGCGCACGTTATACGACGGATATAAAAACGAGAGCTTTCAAAATAAAAAGAAGAGTCGATAAAAGAAAAAATTGAAACGGCGTTCCTTATGATCTTAAAGGGTTATAGTTCTTGAAATATACAAATTTTTCTAAACCTTGGAATAATACCTCGAATAAAATGACTCCAAAACATAAGAGAATTATACAGGCATTGTATCGTGTTTTTTTCATAAAATAGAGACTGCACGTTATACGGTGAATATACTTTCAACTTAAAAATATGTGCTGCTTGAAAGTATAGGTGCGCATTAGACGCCGGATTTTACGGTATTAAAATAAATCAGTTTTATTATGATCTTAACTATATGTATTCAAAACTATAGACTTCAACCGTTAAAATTATTCTTGTCGGGTTTTTTTTTTCTTGGTACTTTTACATTTGCACTTGTTATTGAACTAAAATATTTGTTAAACAAAAAAAAAGCTCACAAGAAAAGTGTGAACTGAATATTCTTTTATGATTATTTGCATTAAGAATATTCATTCCTATAATGTAATAATATTCGTATAATTAAGTATATTCATTCGGAATATATATTCATTCGTTCTCTAAAAAAACTTATCAACTGATATAAATTCATATCCAGAGAATTGTTTTGAAAACATTAAATTTTCATTTGTACATCATTAGCACTAAAAATTTGTGCTAATGATATTCATTTTCATGGAAAGGCATTTAACTAGGTCATCCATATTATTATGAATAGTTAAATTTTTCAGTCATGCATAATTAAATCTAATTTATATATATTTTATCAAGATCCATTTCATTTTCATGATGTTTTTCATGATTTCAAGTTAATTGTTTTGTGATCTTACATGTTTCTTATTTTCTAATAAATTTTCTCTATCTATATATGTATGATGTTTTTATTTATCTTAAAAGGGTCCAATTATATATATTGAGACAGTTGCTATTATTTTCGTAGTTATTGTAAGATATTCTTTGATAGTCTCATTTATATATATGCTTAATAATTACTTAAATTAATGAGTTAATTATTTTTCTTTCTGTCTCTTTTTGAATTATTTTCATTTGCTATTAAATCTATAATATTCTGAATTTTCGTTACTGACTTTTCAGTTTTTTACAAAGCTTCTGCTCATTACAAATGATTTTATTTTAGTTTTATATATTTTGAAAATGTTTTGAATAAACTATGTACAAGTACATAGTTTATATAATTTATGTACATTTGGTAAGGAGAATTTTGCCAGATATCAATTGTTATATATCTTAACAAAAAGATGTTTTTCCTCATTCATACCGGTCTTCAAAATTTATTTTTAAAGATATTTCTCTACAATTATAAAATGACTTCAAGTTTTTTTTGTTTAACAATAATATTAGTCATTATTAAATAATCTATATTTTTATAGTAAATTTTTTCAATAAACCTTTTAGAAATTCTGAAGCAGATAGTTTGCCGAATTGAGAATTCTCTTTCGCCTTGGATTGTACTTCATTAATTTAATTCTGTATTCCTATAAATATCGTGATTGAATTGCTTTAGGGTTTTCGCTGAGTAAAATTTTCAATCTGTTAAAGTGATTTAAAATTTACTAAGAAAACATGTTGGTTTATCCACATGCAATTTCTTCAGGGGTATTTTCGACTACTTGCGACAACCTTTTTTTAAAAAATGGAGATACGGAGTTTTTTTTGTTGTTGTTAGATTTGTTTAGTACATTTTAAGAAAAATATGCTATAATTAAGAAGAGAAAAAGAAATCATTATTACTAAAATGGGAAAAATGGATAAAAATTTACGAAAAATAACCTAAACGTGGTCCATTCTGTACCAAATGTTTATAAACAAATTTTCGATTTTTTATTCTTGATGTATTGTTGTTATTCATTTTTGAAATGACCTTCAGGATAAGAAATATTTTAATTTTTACAAAAACTAGAGCACTTTATCTTAGTTATTATTTGAAATTGCTTAAAATAACAATGATTATATTAACATAAGGGACTATAAATTTTGTAATAAAACAGTGATTGATAAGTCTTTTGGTTAAAACACTTTTACTACTATACAGAACATACACAAAAAGTTTCAGTTAATTATTTTCAAAACTTTTTGAGCGATTTCTGTCCTCTTTCGAGTATTTAAAAAAAAACACATTTCGAGTAAAACGCTTTTTAAAAGTGATATCTTTCTTAAAGCAATGGCATCTGCTTTTGCTAAAACACTTGTAGTTTTTGTTCTAGTGAACGGAAAATAATAAACTTGTTATTTTTACAAAGCTAATAAGATAGCCTATAAAATAAATCATATAAAATTTGTCAATTTTCGGCAAAATTCACAATTTTAGTGTAGTCGAATACCTTAAGTTTATTAGCCATATATTGAAATATTACATTATTGTGTTAGTGACAAAATTCTTTTCAACTATGACTTAAAGCTATTTCTTTTACTTCCCTCAAATTTTATGTGTGCTGTTAGCTTTGAGTTTAAATTTAAAATTTAAAATTGCGTTTTTTCATACGGGGGATATGATGCATAGGCTAATGCTTTGAAATGTTATCTACTATATACGCGGTATTCGACTTAATGCGAAATACTGCTTTAGTTAAAATAGGTAGCTATGTCTTTTTTACTTGGATTTTGGGAATCCACCTAACATTTCATTTTTAACCATTAAGTTATATTTCTCTGAATTGCGGTATCCAAATAGCTGGGATCTCTGTTAGTATGTTTACGAGTTACTATTGATGAATAATGGTTTGTAAACCATTTTCGACGGGAAATGACTTGCCATCAACGGCCTTTGCACTAGGATGCTACATAGAAATCGCCATTAATTTGTGTGAAAAAGAGTGATGATAATAATTAAATTCACTGATGCGAGTATGAAAATATATTTCTCGACTTTAAATATTCACATTTGAGAACATTTCCATCTGCTAATATAAATAAATAAAACTAAGCCTAACTTCGAAAACCCAAGATCGTAGTAAAAATCCTTTCATTTTGAATGTGCCATTAAGATTTATGTTTTAGGTTTAGTTTTCAAATATGCTATTAATTTAACAGTCGAAGCCGAGTTCTTTATTTACGTGGTCGCATAAATTTCGCATATTTTTTTTTCTTTTTGTTAGAATATGACCATAATTTTCCTTTTTGTACGGGGTTAACTGAATACTTAAAAGAATTTTTTGGAGTAAAATGGGGAAAATGGTTGAAATGGCTTATAGTAATCTTCTCTTTCCTGTTTTCAAAGATAATTTCTTTCACTGGAATAGGTTATAATTAAAGATAGTGAGATAAAAGATTTTGCCCCTTTATTTATTGTTGGAACCTCTCTTAAATTTGGAAGAATATTTATGATCGAGATTAGAACACGGTTTTATTTTTAAAAATCATACCCTCAAAATTTTCTAAATATGTCTTTAGATATTTTTGTATTTTTGACTTGAAAGAGGGCTTGCATATATATGGTCAATTTTGTTGTTGAAACATAAAAATTTGAAGCAAATTAACAAATGAAATAAAAATATTTCAAAAGATAAGAGAATGCAGGGATAATTGAATTGCGTGAAAATAATGTAGGTAAAATATTCAGTTGAATTCGCAAGCAAATAGTGCATTGTTTGGATTTTTGGATAATGATCTTAGTTTGAACACGCTACAAAATTTTTCTAGTTCCTGGAAGCTTTAAAAATCAATTTTTGTATGTTTTATGTAAAATCGTACAAATTTGATTACTCATACGCTTTCCATTTAATGTACTTATACCACATTT